GATTGTAAATCAGGCCTCATTTTATTCTATTACGTTTTTGCTTGATATCGCTGTTGTCATCTTCAAAACACTTCTCTCTATCTATCTATTTATTTATCTGATAGCCACTTGCCTTAATGCGGCATTATCGTGATCGAAATTTGGTCTAGTTTGTGCTTTTTGCGATATTTCCAATATTATACGTGCGTGTACCGTATATCGAAGTGTATGTCGGCCAAATTTCAACCCGCTTCAGCTTCAAAATCGCCGAATTGCTTAATCAAGTTTAATCTAGTATATCCAGCTGGATCTAAAATCCGAAAAAATTAGGCAAGATCGTTGTTATCAACTGTCATTTATCGACCCTAGTTACAACCGGGACTCTAGTTACGGGCTTCCTAGATTGTAATTACTATGATAATGATAATATATGGCCTATCGATACACAATTTGTGACATATTTCCAATATCAAAAAGTAATGTCCATATATTTTTCGTTTATTGCCGTACAGCTTAGACAAAAAATGCCATTTATATCTAAAAATTAGGAGACTTGTATTTTTTTTATTCGTAGTAGAGATTCGACATGCTATTAAGTCATTCATTGCTATTGGTCTATTTTTTTTTTCGTAATTTTATTCTTGTAATGGCAACCGCTTTGGCAGGTTGACCTGCTTAAAAAGCTAATACATATAGTACTTTCAATATAATGTGGATAAAGCAAGGCTTAATTCTACGACCTTTTTTTTACCTCGAAAATCTAAAGGCAAAGATTTTAAAAGGGTTGAACTCTTGACGGGTCTCCATCACCTACAACGGTTGTCGCTGGATTTCTCAACTATAGTAAAATGTCTTTAAACATGTATTCGCGGTGAACAACCCTCAGATGAACCAATAAGGCCATTTCGAGAGCAACCCCAGTAAAGCCTTATTAAATTATCACAGAGCGTTCTTATAAGGTCGGTCTTCAACAAGTGCTAACACCAGTGGACGAAGCTAACGCAAACAATTTAATGGACAACTTCGCGTAATTTCAAAAAGATGCTCGATATATATATGTATAGCACACACTACCTCGTAGTCTAAGGCGCACGACGGTCAATTCTTATTAAGATTGTTAAAGTGATACATATTAAAACAAAACAAAATCTTCTGAAGAAAATTCACACTTTAGACGTCCTTGTTAATGCACATCGGCGTGTGCAGCAAAAAGATGTATTCCCTATAGAGAGATTAAAATTGATATCAGATCAAAAATAATCCATATCCAAAATACCCTAGCGAAATCAACAAGTTTAAGGCGTTTGTGACATAATTTTTATTTGTACCGTTCTTTGGTGTTACGTGCTGGGGTATGCAACAGTACATGAATACATACTTTTTCGCTCCTATTTAGTATGTCCTGAGAACACACACATATATATATATATATTTGGCCACTTCTGACATCGTCGTTTTATTTCCTATTAGCTATGATCGAAAATAACACCAGCAGCACCATAGTAGTCATTAAATTGTATCATTTTTATGCGTTTATGGACATGCATAGGGACGTTTTTGTTATCATATAGATATATTTATCAACGTTGCCTGTGGAACATAAACATTAAATGTTGTACGTTTGTTAGACCTTGCCTGTTCGTTTTTTGTATCTGTCATTGTATGTTCATTTGAGCGTCAACAGATAAACAGCTTTCCTAAAAAGACATTTCAGACCGACGAACTACCGCCGCCATCAGCATTGCTGCCAGGCCCCTTTCTGTTCACGCTAACGCTGACACCGATGTAGGCACAGTTTATTTAGTTAGATGAGGACACAGTTTAGATAGTCGCAGCAGTGAAGAGTCCATCTTGACCCAAACTCCGATAAAGTAAATACAAGCTCTCAATAGATAGATGTAAACAGCAATACCAGCTAAGAGCGACTGTTACAATTGTTGGAGAAGCGTGGACGTCTGCTATAATGTAGTAACTATTATATAATAGTGTTTGGCTCGCAGTACTTTCTGAGAGTACCGTATCAGTGTGTTGGGTAAAGCACCCAAATCCACGTTGTCTCTTACGAATTTTTTTTAAGATTATCCCTAAATATAAGCAGATATTTTAACAAAACATCTTACATGTGCTAGAAGCGTCATTCCTAACAATTGTGTTGATCAACTACTATCATCACTTGTCGCGATTACACCCCTAACGCGGAACTTGCGCCACCGGTTAGTTATTTTGAACATATTTTTTTCTTTTAATCGGAAATAAATTTCAACAATAATCGTCTGTGAAGCGATATTGGTAAAAATACACTTACTAAGGCGTCGTTTAGGCTCTAAACTCTATAGGTTAGGCGCCGTTTGGAACTAAATTTGGGCCCAAAGCCCGCGAAACTTTCCACGATGCAAGGATTCAAAACGGTAAATAAGCGCAAAAGGCGTAAAAGGGCTCAGAAAGTCTCAAAAAGGTTAACCCTTGGATTGGCACTTAATAGTCTACTTTTTCACATAAACGGGTTTGCTGTATCGAAAACGTTCTAGACCATTTGTTGAACTCTTTAACTTTTCAAATCTAAATTTTATTGAGGATCTTCCGGTTTGCCTTATAGAAATCCTCTCCGGATCTTTCAGAAGAACTGGCGATCAAGTAAGTGAACGCATGCCTGCTAGGACAAGCAGCGTGTCAAAGTTTTTCCCAATTTGAATTATTTACCCATATATATTTGACATATACATATTAGAAGAAAAGTGATGTTATATAACAGTTGTGTCTACGATAAATTACTCCAGATTCATGATAACAACGAGTAATCGATTTGTTACAGAGTCTCTTATTTTTACTGTGTTTCTCAAGAATAACGTGTGGAACCATTAGAGTCGCGCCGTCGATCAGCTAATAGTCAACGGCCCCGGTAAATCAACGGCCCCGGATTATTTAAGTTAGTCTTTAACATATTTTACCTATTAATTTACCATTCAGCCCACAAAGCATTAGTCGTAACCTTCTTAAACATGTAAGGAGACGCTTGTAAGTTCATTTATGACACACAAAACACGTAATAGTATAACATGACAAAGGCGAATGCAGCCATAAGCCTTTTCCGTGGTTTAACATATGATGAATGATATCCAGCTATTAGCTAATAAGAGAGATCGAATAATTACGCTTATACCCTTGTCGTTTTGATGACAAGACAGTTAGTCGGCGCATGTAAGAACCCCCGATCATGTCAACATCAGTGATCACAGAATCACATTGCCATTGTCACTGTCAGTAGGAACCTGCTAAATTGTAAATGTTTTCAATCGGCTAAAGATTCGGCATTCGTTTAACGGGCAGTATCAGGCGCAAAAGGGCCCAACACGTGTCATGCTGCTTGTATTAAAATCTTTACTAGAAAAACTTTTGTTAATTCCTTTAGCTCGTCCACGTGCATCTACACTCAAGCTTTCGTTCCATTCTCATTACTATACTACAATTACTACTATTTTGTTACAGTTAGAATATCATTATTGTTAGCATGTTTTCATTGTGCCCTCTCTCAGTTTGTATTTATAATTTCTGTTTGTAATCATGTAGGAATCATATCGGTAGCACCACGCTTCATTCGAAGACGGCACGGGATAAGGAAGGCGGTGGTAATGTAAATCAACGAATCAACGTATATGCACTGATGGCTATACACAGTTTACTTTTTCCATTGGCGAGGTGCCCCCTCCTCCAGGCGTATTTTGCACGTTACGGCTATAGTTTGGCTGTTCTGCACGGAAGCGTTAGGTTTAGTTGGAGGCTTGAGCTGTACCATTGTACTTAAGGAACTGCTGATGATGTCGCCGCTTGAACGGTCACGAAGATCAAAGCAATTTATTATGAGAGTTTGAGTGAGTAGGAGGTTTACAGCTTCTTCGGCAATCAAATCGATATGTTAATACTGCGAAATAACTGCGACAACAGGTTTCGAAGAAGATATAATTCGGTAATATGCTGTCTGTTACGTTGATGGTGACCACTTAGTATATATATATATATATATATATACAGCTGTTATAATAAGATATATATAATAGTTTTAGCGGTAGTGGCTATATTAAATAAGGGTCTGTTCGTCGACGTCTTGGCTAGCTTCTCACGCCACTCGATAACCTGACCTATTTGTCATAAATTTGTGTGATCATCACCCGCTGGTAATGATTCCATTTCGAAATGGAATAGATAGTAAACGGTATACGAGCTTATTTGATGCATATAAGGCTTCCGATGACCCTTCTACTGCTTCGAGTATGCATCACTTACATGTCTAAAGTAGTTTGTCCGCTTTCTTAATGGCCTTTTCTAGATCTTTTTATATAGATATATTATAAATTTGATTATATATAGCTGGTAATTTGAAAAAGATTAAGTGAGAACGGGGAAAATTTTTGCCAAAGTAAAAAGCCTTTTCAAGGTCTGAAGCCTTCTCAATCTTCCTCTGGTAGCCCTTTTTTGTTGTGTTAATGTAAGGCAAATGGCTGGACGCTGACCTCTCCAGTATGGCATAAAGATTATTTCACAGTTAGAAAAAAGTAACACTATTAACATGCATTAGCAATATATGTATCCGTATTACCAATATAACGATATTGAGTAACTAACATCATTTGAAATGCATCACAGGTGTTATGGAAACAGGTTAGGTGAGCGCCATCTACATATGCGAC